ATTGCGGTTGCACTGCGGTTTAGTCCACCACTTGCCTCACCCCTTGACCACTTGCCCACTTGCCTACCTTCTAGAAGGTCTACAGCTAAGCTTCCTGAACTCACTAAGACTCCTACGCTATAGACCTACAGATGGAACCCCTGCTGCCTATGGACCTACGACAGGCCTACCAACTGCCTACGAATACACAGGTCACAGGTTCAATTCCCGGGTATCTACACAGATACTGTACATGGGTAAGGTGAGGTCTAGAGATCGAACCTTGGGTACTGCATCCGCTACTGCTAAAAGGTGAAAACCGTTTCACTCCTGCTGTCCTAAATTCGAGGTCCTCCGAGAAAATTTCAGTCCAAGGCGGGACCTTTACCTTTCTTGTCACGCTCATAGGCTCTGACTATGTCGGGAGTAGTCTCTAGAAGTTCTGCTTTCGTGAACCAGCGGTTGTCTTCGGGTTCCTGATAGGCAACACGAACTTTATACTGTTTCTGGGGAGGACCTCTACCTCCTGTCCTAAACACATCCTCTTCTACAATGCCGTCTATGTCATAGCTCCCATCCATATCCGGTGGGATCATGGATCTCTTGGAAGGGAATTGTTGACTAGTGACACACGGCGGCAGCTTTGGAGCATGGAACATAGGGTATGTGTGGAGGTGTGCTGGAATCTCAATGTTGTAGGATGGTCCATCCTCTCCGCCCTTGACTTCTAGAACTGGCCACGGTCCTCTCTATGCAGGCAGTAACTTCTGCGAGATGTTTTCTTCCGGTGCAAACTCTTTTGCTTTGACCAAGACTATGTCGCCTTCTTGAAACTGCGATGGGCGTCGGTGCTTGTTAGCCTGTTCTATCATTCTGTGCTGGGCCTTCCGAAGGTTCTCAACAACAGTGGCTAACTCCTTTTCGTGTTGTATCGCAAACTTCCTGGTACCGGGCGGTAATCTGTGAGTCTGATCCCGGTTCAGTCCTTCGAACGGTCTGCGCGGTCTAAAGGACTTGTGCAACTCATTGGGAGTGCGGCAAGTGGATAGATGCACGCTGTTGTTGTACACACTAGTGACCTTGGGCAACATCTCATCCCAGTTGATCTGATCTGGTCTAATATACATGCGCAGAACTTGTTGTAGGATCTTGTTCATCTGTTCTGTCTGACCGTTAGTCTCTGGGTGACGGCCGGACGACATTAATAACTTAGATCCGTAGACTCTCATGAGTTCTTGCCAGTTCTGGCTGGTGAAACGACTATCTCTATCACTAACTATTGACAATGGGATTCCATTCTCACTAACCCAAAAGTCAAAGAACTTCTGTATCACTACGTCCGTACGGGCCTCTGCAGGCAAAGGAACAAAAACTGCATACTTACTAAATCGGTCAACTATGACCATGACTTGGCTCTTACCATGTCTACTCTTGACTTGGGTGTCCATGAAGTCTATGGACACTGAGTCCCCCGGCTGATCCGGAATAGGCAAGGGTCTGAGAAGACCTAGGGGCGCGCGTGTAGTAGACTTATTCCTCTGGCACACTTTACAACTGCGGACATACTCTATGCAGTCATTCTTCATCCCTGGCCAGGTATACGCACGCATCAGGTTGGCTAATGTCTTTTGCCAACCGAAATGCCCTTCAGTATCGTGGCATTCCCCTAAAATCAAACTGCGGATCTCTTCGTTGTTGGGAACGCACAGGCGATCAAACACACTAGTCTTCTCAAACAACAACCCGTCTGTAGTGCGGTAATCTGGTTCAGTCTTTGGGGCCTCTCTAACTCTCTTTAGGAGGTCGCTATAGATAGGGTCCTGCGCATATGCTTGCCTCACTTTCTCCTGCAGGTCTCTCCCTATATCCAGATAGTGTACTGCAGCTCCAAAGTAGTCTAATCTGCTACTCAGAGCATCCGCAACTACGTTGTACTTGCCCTTCACTGGCTTGAGCTCAAAGTCGAATTGGTCTATCTTTGCGGCCCACCTAGTCAACTTAGGTGTCATCTTGGCCTGAGTCTTTAACCATCTAAGCGTTTCGTGGTCCGAATATACTTTGAAGTGCCTCTCGAGCAGGTAGTGCTTCCAATGATCTAAAGCCTGCCTGAGAGCGTAGAGTTCTCTCTCGTACGTGGAGGTAGCGACCTTCTCACAGGGCATCCTCACTGATATGAACTTTACGGGTCTATAGCCATTGTCGTCGTCTGGCTGCAACACGGCGCCTATCCCATACTGACTTGCGTCCGTGGTAACGACAAATGGCAAGGACCAATCTGCTACTTTGAGGACAGGATATTCTATTAACGCGCGCTTTAACTTCTTGAGCGCAGACGTACAGTCTTTGTCCCATTGCCAGATTGCCTCTTTTTTCAGCAATCGGCGCAAGGGAGCGGCGATAGTGGAGAAGTTCCTCACGAACTTCCTATAGTAGGTAGCTAGGCCTAGGAACGACCGCAACTCTGTCAATGTGCGGGGCATCGGCCAATCTCTGATCGCCGCGATCTTGCTGTCCTCTGGCTTAATGCCATCTTCGTCCAACACGTGGCCCAAGTATAAGACTTGCGTCTTGGCCCACTCGCACTTCTTCGCGTTGATCTTGAAGTTGGCCTCTCTAAGCTTCTCCAAGACCTGCCTCAGATGACCCTGGTGCTCCTGGAGGGTCTTACTAAGGACTAGGATATCATCTAATGGAGGGTCTTACTAAAGACTAGGATATCATGTAAGTGGACTACTACGAATTTATCTAACCATGGTCTAAACAGGCCATTCATACAACGCTGAAAAGTAGTTGGCGCGTTGGTTAGTCCAAAGGGCATCACTATAAACTCATAATGCCCATATCTAGTCCGGAACGCAGTCTTGTACTGATTATCAGGAATAACCTTTATCTGATGGTATCCGGACTTTAAGTCTATCTTAGAGAAATACTTACGACCCTGCACCCGATCTAAAAGATCGTCTATCCAGGGCAGTGGCTCAACGTTCTTTACTGTGATCGCGTTCAAACCCCTATAGTCTATACACATACGAAGTTCTCCTTCCTTCTTGGGGACAAACAAAACTGGTGCTCCGAAAGGAGACGAACTGGGCGTGATCCAACCCTTCTCAAGGAGTTTGTCTAATTGCTTGCGAAGCTCCTCTAACTCTCTAGGGGACATCCTGTAGACTGCACCCTTAGGAGTTCTACTGCCAGGCTCTATCTCTATCCTATGCTGGATGGGTCGCGGCACTACTCCTGTCGGTGACTCGGTCAAATCCTGAAACTCTTCCAGCAGCTTGGCAATTGTTGGATCTGTGGAACTATCCTTTTCCTGGCCCTCAGTGACAGGTCTAACATAAACTACAAAGACCTGGTCTTCTAACTGCTCCTTTTTTACTAATCGCGCGAACGCGGGAGCACTGAGACAGCAATGTGGCAAGGTGTTGTCTACACCCGACACGTGGAACAAGCGGTCAGTCTTAACTTCGCCCGCCGGACTAGGGAACCTACACTCATGCTCTCTCAAATGAAGTGTGGCCCCTTCTGCCTCTCCCCAATCCATTCCCAACACTATATCAAAAGGAAGGTCATCTTGTACGAGGAGAGTCAGGGAATGGAGAACTTTCTCCACCTTCCCATCCTTCTCTAGGCAAAAGTACGCCTGGACTCCCTCTACGTAGTCCTCAACTCGCATCGTGCGGTTGTCTGCGAGGACACTAACTATGGGGTCTACTAACTTCTGGACTTTTAGTCCCAGCCTCAACTTCTTCAGTGCCCTACGGCTGATATAACTACGAGTAGCCCCTGAGTCTATAAGGGCCCCTACTCTACTTCTGAACACCTCTACATCTACCAAAATCAGCTGTCCCTTGCTCTCCTTTTTCATTTTGGCCCAGGCATGCATCGTCTTCTTTAACTCTTCTGCCACACCTGTGAGGGACGTGCCTAAAGAGACGCTAACACAAGCAGTCTCTGGAAAGCTATCTAGGCACGGGCCTGCAACCTCTGCCATAGGCTCATGTGGGTTGGGAGTGTCCTGTTCGCGCACGCTCACTTCTCCACATGGCCTGGAAGTAGGGGCAGTTGCGACCCCTACTGGCGGCTGCCTTTTGACGACTGAGCAGCCCAACGGGCCTGTCTATACTTTGGACAAAATTTGATAACGTGGGCCGGGTCACCACAGAATATGCACTGACCCCGGTCCACGCGTTCTTGCCATACGCGCTGGTCCAAGCCCAAATCTTCCCAGGGCCTGCCTTGTGGCAAGACTGGGTGCCATCCACCTTGAGGTGCCCTTCCACCTCCTCGCTGTGGGGACCGGAATGAACCTTGGCGATTTGACGGGGGACCTTGACCCCTACCTCCCGCTTGGCGGTTTCCTTGGCCGCCAACCCCCTGCGCCCCCGGTCCTCGGCCTCCCGTGGCCTGGCCCCTTTGGCCCTGGCCTCCTCCTCTACCATGCGGCCTCCCTCCAGCCGCGACAGCAGCGTAAGACCTCCCCTGCCCTACACTACTGTACTCCTCCCCTAGGCCCCACTCAATCTGATCAAATGGGATTTCTTCTGTACCACCCTCCTCTAATGTTAGGATCAAGTGATCCTTGGCCTTGACTTGGCCCGAGATGGTACGATCTTTCCACTTTTTCCCCTTCTCCAAGTCCTTATGCCAGAAAGTGGTAACTGGCATAGACTTTGACTCATACAGGACGACTTCCCTACTCAATGCATCGTAAGTCATGCCGGCCTGCTGAGATTTGTCAAAGAAATGCCCGCGTAGAGCCTCTGGAATGGCACGATAAAACAACTGGACCAGCTGGGGCTCAGTGACCCCGTGGTCTAGGACAACTACCAAGTCGTCCATAGTACCCTTGAGTGCCTTAGCACTCCTCCACTGCCGAGAGTGGATCGTTTGGAGCTTATCAGAGACTCTAATGCCTCGCGTTGGGTTAGCGAACCGCTCCTTGAGGAGCTTGAGGAATTGGGAAAGAGGAGTGACTTTGGAATACGCAACCAGGTTGTTTTCACAACCTGCTGTACGCGCGAGAGACCTGGCGAAGCTAGCCGCTTCGTCCTTCAGGGCCTGGAAGGCCACGAGGACTTGCTCCTCCATCAGGATATGCTGTAAATAAATGTGACTATTGACACTGGCCTCCCAGTTGTCAAAGTTCTCGTCCTTCTTTCCCCCGTACACGTCTGGGAACTTAAGTTTCACTGGGTCCTTACGGGGTCTGGCCTCTCCTTCTACAGCGGCTGCAGCTTTGGCACCCTGAATGGCGCACTCACAAAACTTCCCTACATTGTCCCTCAACTGTTTGACTTCGCCCCCAATGTGGGTGACGATTTCGTGCACAAAATCCCTGAACCCGGACCGCATGGCACTCAATGCTACATCCTGACTCCAGCTTGCCTCACGCTCCTCTATCTAGGCCCTGCTCAACACCTCTAGATCTGTCTCTTATACACATCTAGATGTGTATAAGAGACAGAGTCAGGGTTGGGAGACGGACTCTGCTCATGGATTTATTTATTTTTATTTTTATTTTTATTTTTTTATTTTTTTTGAAATTGCTCCCCCCCCCGAAAAAAAAGAAAGAATTGAAATTGCTAGACGTACATGTGCATGTGCACGAAACAGCGAATTTGAAACTGAAGAACGTGGGTATGGCCGAAAATAAAGGCAAAAAAAAGAACAAAAAAAGAAAACACAGGAAAAAGAAGGCCAACGGTTTGGGGTTTGCCTGGATCAAGGATGGACGGTCTGCATCTGCCCGTTTATATCGTGTAAATACAGCCAGCTGTGACGCCCGATCTGCATGTGCACGGGGCCCAGAGCCCGCAGAGCTTGTCTCACGTAAAGGTGTGTTGTAAACTAGAAGCACCTGGGGCGAGGTCCCACGAGCAGAGGATTGGATTGAATGCCTGAATCTGGACTCGTTTGTAGAGAGAGGTGCAGAAAATCGAGATCGAACTGCGTTTCTGCATCTCACCTTAAAACACGTCCAGATTCAGGACATTAATCAAATCCTCTTTGCTAGTGGGGACCTCTGCCCTGGTCTTACGTTGGACATCCTCCCTGACAAGCAAAGCTTGAGAGAGAACAGCGGCGAGGTTCCACTACCAAGGTAGTAGCAACGAAGATTGGTTTAAACGTCTGAAATTTGGGATTCGTCGATTTGCATATGTGTTGGGGGATCAGAAAAAAAACGTTGACGTCCTGCAGTTTTGGGCTTCAGGGTGGAATATAGACCCTCCTCTCGTCTCTCGCCTGTGTGATCATATTCTGTTGTCCTACTTTTTTCTCCTCCTGTTGTGGGGGGGGGGCGGGTACAGCGGGGTGGCATTGACGCCCCTAACGAGTGATTTTGCGGTCTGAACGTACAGGGAGCGAGTCCAACAGCCAGCCAGCCAGCCAGCCAGCCACACTCGATTGTCCGGCAACTACGTACCATGCAATTAAAGACAGGCAGCTACGGCGATTTGGACGACGTAGACGCATGCATGCAATTAAAGAGAAATAGAGTTCTTTCTCTTCCACATTGAATTTCCCGCTCAATGTTTTAAGCGGAAAAATACTTAATAAAAAGGAACGACCAACGGGTCCTCATCGTGATCATCTAGTTTGCCCTGCTTTTCTGAAATTGCTGCTTTCATTAGCATCCCAAAAAGATTGGCACAAAGTTTAATTCTTGCGCCAGATCGAGAGCCAGCCGAAGAGCAGTTCTGACTTGACGTTTGATTCTTGCGGCCGCCGCGAACTGTTAGCCGTCAGATTCGACACCACCGCCGCCGCCAGCAGAGATCCCGGCCATCGCGTCCGCCAACTTCCTTGTCAGCTATGGCGGCCGGCGTCGCTGCTGCGGATGCGGCTATGGTGGTGGACAGGTCATTGCAGCCTGTTGCTGAGCAGGCGGCCATGGAGTCCATTCGTCAGCAGAAGACCGATCTCGATAGATACCTCTTCTTGCGCGATCTTCGTGAGAAGGACGAGAACCTGTTCTTCCGACTTTTGATGACGCACACAGAGGAGCTGTTGCCGCACGTGTACACCCCGACGGTGGGAGAGGCATGTCAAAAATATAGCAAATTGCCAATCAAGACACATGGCATCATCATCACCCCGGCGGACAAGGGTAAGATTCTGGACAAGCTCAAGGCTTGGCCGGAGAAGGATATCAGGGTGATCGTGGCCACAGATGGAGAGAGGATCCTAGGGCTGGGCGATCTCGGCTACAACGGGATGGGCATCAGCGAGGGCAAGATCTTGCTCTACACGGTGATTGCAGGGGTAGATCCGCAAGTGTGTCTGCCCATGGGCGTCGATGTGGGTACTAACAACCAGTCGCTGCTGGATGACCCGGAGTACAAGGGGTTGAGGCAGAGGCGCCTCCGTGGGCCCGAGTATGATGAGCTTATTGATGAACTCATGGCTGCTGTGCGCGCCCTCCCCTCTCACGTGCTCTTCCAGTTTGAAGACTTTGGCAACACCACGGCCTTCAAGCATTTGGTTAAGTACCGGGACGTGCAGTGCTGCTTCAACGATGATATCCAGGGCACGGCTTGCATCACGCTGGCGGGAATTCTGTCAGCGCTGAGGGTGACCAAGCAGCCGCTCGGCGCGCAGCAGCGAGTGCTCTTCCACGGCGCGGGAGAGGCGGGGACTGGCATCGCCGAGCTCATTGCTATGGCCATCGCGAAACGGAACGGGATCCCGATCGAAGAAGCGCGTAAAGCGTGCTTCTTCATGGACTCCAAGGGGCTGGTCTGCAAGTCGCGACTGGCGGAGCTGCAGCACCACAAGATCCCGTTCGCGCACGACATCCCATACCAGCCCTCCCTCGTGGAAGCCGTCAGGGCAATCCGACCCACGGTGTTGATTGGCGTGTCGACCTCAGCCGGGGCTTTTACCAAGGAGGTGGTGGAGCTAATGACCGAGATAAATGACAGGCCAGTAATATTCCCGCTGTCTAACCCGACGTCCAAATCGGAGTGCACGTACAAGGACGCTTTCGAATGGAGCAAGGGGAAGGTGGTGTTTGCCAGCGGCAGTCCCTTCCCTCCTCTCGTGGCTGCTGACGGGACAACGCACTACCCTGCACAGGCCAACAATGCTTACATATCCTTTTCAAATGCTTTGAGACACCAAGCAACAGGCAAGAGAAAATCTCTCTCTCTCTCTCTCTCTCTCTCTCTCTCTCTCTCTCTCTTGCTTGCTGTGTGATTCTCTCTCTCTCTCTCTCTCTCTCTCTCTCTCTCTCTCTCTCTCTCTTGCTTGCTGTGTGATTCTCTCTCTCTCTCTCTCTCTCTCTCTCTCTTGATATCGCTCGCTGGGTTGGGTTGCTTGCTGTGTGATTCTGTCTTCATGTTTTCATGCATCCGGCTGTGATTCTCTTATATAGCGGTTCGGATCCCGATACCTGGTTGTTGTTGGGATCTCGTCGACACTCGCTGCGCTCAGCACGAGGTACGTCCGCCCCCCTCCCCACCCTTCTCCCTCTTCCCCTGCGCCCCCTTTTCCCTCTTCCCCTGGGCCCCCTTTTGCCTCATCTCGTGCGCGCCCCCGCCCCCCCCCACCACCAAAAAGAAAAGAAAAAGGAAAAAAAAGATGTCTCTATCTTGAGTTCCAAGCATGAGCATTATTCCTGGCTAGTGCGGTGCAATTTACGAGCCCTATATATTGCCATGAGCATTGCACTAACGCCCATGCAGGTCATGTAAAGAAGAAAAAATGGTCCTTAGGGCCATCCGTCAAAATGGGAGCGATACAGGGATTTTTTTTTTTTTTTTTTTTTTTTTTTTTTTGGGGGGGGGGGGGGGGGGGGGGAGAGGGACATAAAAAATCAGAGACCTCTACTAGAGGGGGTGGTATGAGCCAGCCGATACAGAGAAGATTTGCATCGCCTCTCAGCTCAAGGATGACGCGGAAACAAAAACAAACATTCAAAAAAGGAAAGAAGGAAAAAATGCTCATGCATCGTGATTTGGAGGCAACGCAGTTATACACCAGTGGATTAAGAATTGCTGCCTTTTTCTACGTCTTCTTGTTTTTTTCTTTTTTCTTTTTTTTCTGTTTTTTTTCCCCTTGGGTTTGGAGGATTGTTTTTTGTTTCCTCTACAAGAGCGGATCGTCTGCCAGATGGCGGGAGGAGTGTCGTGGTCATTTTTTCTCCATCCATAAGAAACGCGTGGGACATGCTTCGTGCACGATAGCCAGTGCTGATTCGATCGAAACAAGAGAGAGAACTAGGTAGGGACGATTGAAGCCGAAGGGAGGAGAAAGGAAGAGATGCACATAAGTGTTTGGATATGACATCATGCAAACGCATTAGCCATACAATAAAGGACAAGGAAGAAGGAGCCATGGGGGAGAAAATAGAAACAAGACGAAGCAGATAAAAACCCGAGCACAGGACGCGTCGTTCAAAATGACAAGAGTGAAGTACAAGGACGAATGGCGGCGCGACCCGACGCCGCGTTTCGTCCAGTCGCCAGCTGGTCTTCGTCAGGGGTCAACTCCTGGCTTCAGACCTGAGTTCGGATCCAGATGCAACTAGAATCAAATTCTTTACTTACTCCCAAAAAAAAATAAAAAAATAAAAAAATAAAATCTTTACTTACCTGGGACAGGTCAGTCCGACGATGATATCATCAAGGCCATCGCGGGGCTTTTTTTTTTTTTTTTTTCCTTGTTTAAATGGAGTTACTGTTATTCTTCTTTTTTTTTTTTTTTTTTTTGGGGACACCACACATGGAACTATTTTTTTAATGAATTAGAATTATGAGATAAGAGAGAGAAAGGGACGATCGAAGTCGAAGGGAGGAGGAGAAAGGAAGAGATGGATATGACCAACGCTCGCCTAACCCTGTTGGTACACCACCCATGCATGAGCTGTTGGCAAAAATACAGACCTGCGTTCGAATCGAGATAGAACTACATGAATCAGAAGTACGAGATGACTTTTTTTTTTTTTTTAACTCCAAAATCAAATATTTATTACAGATGACATACAGTAATTCTGAATTACGTGGGACCGGTATCTCAAAGGCCGCCGCCTAAAAAAAAAAGATAGAAAAAAAAGAACGGACATAGATCAATCGAAGCGGGGAGAGAGAAAGGGAGAGGTGGTCGTGATATGGACCTGCTTTGCAGTGTTGCAATACTCTTATCTTCGGAGCTAGTTTTTTTTTTTTTTTTTTTTTTTCCCTTTCTATCTATTGGAATGAACAGAGGTGGGTCTCCTTCTTCTCTTGCGGAAAGCGTAGATAAAGAGTCTTGAGTGTCCTGCCAGCTCCAAATGGCAGCAATTGATTGGAATGGTGTATGTCATGCAATGTCCCTTGAGAGCCGTGGGATTGCAATGCGGATGGCGATGACCGAAGGAGAGAGAGGATCTAGACGGGAGTCGACTTTCGTCTAACCATTTTTTATTTTTTATTTTTTTTGCCCTTCTTTTCTTTTTTTGGGGCGTTCTTTTCTTGTCTTTTTTTTTCTCTTTTTGCTTCTCACCGTTTAGCATCTCTCGACCGTTCGATTGAGTGTGTTGTTGAATTGGCGCGCCTCTCATTTACGTCTCTGGTTACGTAGTGTTTTTTTTTTTTTTTTTTTTTTTTGAGATGTGCATTTGTTTGGTTATTATCAGAACATTCATTGGTGGTGCTATCGCTGGCTGCCTTTTTTTTTTTGTATCTGTTCTACCGATTTAAAAAAATAGTTAAAAAAATCCATTTCTTGGTCTAAATTGGACGTTCTTCTCACCATTCGACAGCGCGTGACCGTTCAATTGTTTCTGATGCTTGCCTCCGTCGTCTCAGGGCCTACTGTCACTAGTCTTTTTCACTTCTTTCTGGAAGTAATTGCGGTCAAATACATCCACATAGGCACGGAATTACGATCAGCCACATTATTTAAGATAGATTGTGCTACGTCCTGTTTTTTTGTAGTACGCTCTCACCTCGACTGATCTAGCTGTATTTCTCGTCGGCTCGATTTCTACGTCCTCTCTTTTTTTCTATTTTTTGTTGAGTTTCTACGTCCTTTTGCTTTCTGCACGCGGAAGATTCCCACCTGTCTTGGTTCGTCATTCTCGGCTGTCGATCTCCAAAATCTCCATGATCCACGGTCATAAATAAAAACAGCCCGGGTACATCATGAGGCCTCGGGCCCCCGCTTGCTGAAAATTGGGTTTGTGTGCTATATGACGATCACACGTTCATACCTTTCTCGGCCTTTCTCGGCCTTTTGCTGAAAATTGCGTTTGTGTGCTATATGACGATTTAAATAAAATTAAGAAAGAGAAAAAAAAAAGTGTAGTAAGGCCTGGACCCCACAGGAATGCCGCAAGGAAAACTTTTGCTGCGGAATTGTTTCCGGGACCCCACATGCCCCCGGAAAGGTCGTGGAAAGGTAGGTGGTCGTGGAAAGGTAGGTTTGGTTTACTCCGTGGAATCATTCCGCGGGGCCCCACAAGCTGCGGAATGTGCCGTGGAAAAGCTTCCGAGACTGTTTCCACATGGTCTGCGGCATGGAAAATTGCAGCGGGAGGGATTTCCGCCGCAATAACCGTTTCCACATGGTCTGTGGCATGGAAAAGTGCCGCGGGAGGGATTTCCGCCGCAATTTTGTGCCGACTCTCAAACGTTGGGGGTGGTGCATCGCGAAGGTTTCCAAGGTCTCCAGCTCAGGCGGGAGTAGAAGATATCCGGGCGGCCTTTTCTTTGGGTCCTGGAACACTACGGCATGGCTTCGAGGGTATTGCACGGTACAGGGCCCGCCTTCGGAGGTCCCGCACAGATGGGTGAACAACCCGGGGGCCATTGCCCGCCCTTTCGAAGTCGAATTCGAAAGGTGGGGTTTTTGCATGGCCGTGGGGTTTTTGCATGGCCGTTGCCGTCGTCATGCAGCCGACGTTGACAAAGTGATCTCACCCCCGACGAGCTCCTCGTGCGCGTGCGCGTTTGGTGCCCTTCGCCTCCGGTCATGCACGCCTTCCGCAAGCTCCATCGCCACGCAGTGTCGTGGTCGTCAGCTTGCCGTCGTTTTCATGCAGCGGCACGATGGCACCGGCCTACACTGTCTATGTGTCGCACCACACCGTCAACTGCCACCCAAAGTCGCCCTCCAACGGACGTTGGTGGTTCCTGGGCTCCAAGGGCGGTCACTCGGACGGATCACCACTTTCCATTTCGGGATGGCACCTCGGGCACATTTCCTATTGCGGAAAGTTCAATCCGCATTTTGCCGCAAAACGGCCTCCGCTGTGGGGTCCTGCAGAGGGCTTTCCAAACTTGCCAAGACTCTTCCGACGGCCATTCTGCGGCCATTCTGCGGATATGTCTTTTCCAAAGGAATTCCTGTGGGGTCCAGGCCTAAGTGTAGTATGTGTGCAATCAGACTCGTTCTCAAACACACTTTTCGTGCTTGTAAACAGCAACGCAGCATACTGGCGACATGCGCCCACTCAAAAACTCGGAGATATGGCTTTCAGATACGAGTTCACTCTCAATTAGCTATGGCGACTTCAGCGCTCAAACATCTCACTGTTCACATACACGGGATCACCCTGGATATCCCACACGCATCACTCTTAACACTTGAGCACACACTCACACTCGCTACTAACTACGGCTATGGCAGTTGTCGCAGCATCTAACCTATCGCTATGCTAACTCCCTCTCTCTTGCCCACTGCGTCCTCCGGGCTCATCTGCAGACCTCCTTGCACAAGTCGCTGTGGCAGCGCTTCCGCATGGCTCACACAGGAATAAATAAATGGCTGGGCGCTGCCTCTTGATTTATACTTCAGAAACTCGTTGGTCTGCCCTTTGCCATCGGCCCTTGGTGCTCACAGTCCCCCTGTGGTACTTGCTGGACCGGACTGGGACYGACTGGACCTTCCGCYGACTGACTGTGGACTCASCGCTATCCTACSGACGTTGTAYTGCGGTTGCACTGCGGTTTAGTCCACCACTTGCCTCACCCCTTGACCACTTGCCCACTTGCCTACCTTCTAGAAGGTCTACAGCTAAGCTTCCGGAACTCRCTAAGACTCCTACGCTATAGAYCTACAGATCGAACCCCTGCTGCCTATGGACCTACGACAGGCCTACCAACTGCCTACGAATACACAGGTCACAGGTTCAATTCCCGGGGTCTACACAGATACTGTACATGGGTAAGGTGAGGTCTAGGGATCGAACCGTGGGTACTGAATCCGCTACTGCTAAAAGGTGAAAACCGTTTCATGTGTTCTGATCAGTGAGAAACAAAAAAAAAAAAACTTTCTTTGCTACGCCCACTCGGAGACTGGAGGGGTACAATTTCCGAGTGGAGGGGTACCAATTGGCGTCATGAGGGGGGGCAGCGGCAGGTCCCATTAGCAAAAAAGAGGATTGAGTTAAGCGGCTGAGGAGTCTAGAGGTGTTTTGCCTAGAGATGCAGAAAAGCAGATCAATTGTGGATTTCTGCACGTCTCCTCAATTATGTCCAGATGCAGGCACCAAATCTATCCCTCTTGGCTACGGAGTGGGACCTCGCCCCGGATAGAAAAAAGAAAAAGAGGCCATTTGACGGTATTGCGTGTTTATATTTTTTATAGGACGTCTTTTTTTTTTTGGTGGTGGTGGGGGGTTAATTTCGCCAGTGGTTTGTGAGAGATGACGATCGCAAATGTCGTCACACGCGCTCATTGCAGTTTCTCTTGTTGATGAATGTCTCTGTAAATGCGACCGGATACATTATCCTAGCCACTCCGTAATGAATGTGGCGGTGGTCAGCTACATTCATTGTAATTCTTTACCTTCCCTGGAATGAATGTGGCGGCTGTATGGTATTTTTATTAATTTATTTTTCTTTTTCCTTGCGCAGGGGCCATGTGTTGGCCTTGGACACTGCTGTTATTCGGTTGGGGGTGGGGGACGATGAAAAGGGAGGTGCTGCTACCTGCCAAAATGCTCGGCCTGTGCGTTAGCCAGACCCCCACTGGCGGCCCCACCCCATTCTTGACCACCATGGGGGAGGGGGGGGGAGGGGGAGGGCAACATCCACCCCCTCTGATGCCTGGAGGGAGACAACAAGCTATGTTCGCAGGGGTCCGTTGTCTTAAAAAACCCTTAGGAGTAGTGGTAGGTAGGTAGGTAGGTAATGAAGGTGAATTGAAAGAATAATTTGAAAGATGATGAAAGATTTGAGAGAAGAATATAGCGTAGTTACCAAAAAAAAAAAAAAAAAAAACAATTCTCTGTATCGTGACATGGGTCTCATGTCACGAAGCACTTTGGTATATTTATCTCAGTTGACAACTGCGCCGAGGTTCCACTAGCAAAAAGGATAGGGTCGAGATCCTGAATCTGGATGTGTTTTATGCTGAGATGCAGAAAAGCAGTTCAATCTCGATTTCCTGCACATCTCCTTAATCTCGTTCAGATTCAGGCATTCGATCAGATCGCCTTTGCTAGTGGGACCACGCCCCTGGAGCTAATGTGACCGTAGTTGCCGAGATAGGGCCTCACTCCACTACTCACCACATGCAGAAATTTAAAGAGAAAAAATATGGAGATGTATGTTTGTTTCCATGTTCTACGGGAAGATTCATTCTCATTTTGCACATTTCGTGGGTAGTGCAGCGAGGCCCATATGCGGTTCATGGCAGGGTCGTAGGGTCTGATCCCACCACTATGTAGTGGCGAAAAAGTACTGTCAGCGACCCTGGCGGGCCAAAAAAGAGAAATTGGAACCCACAGAGCCGTTTTCTTTGGTGGTCTTCCTGCTCCCACGGCGACTCTTCATGGGCACCAGTTCAGGGCCGATGGTTTCATGGTGAAGGTTGCCCCTCGCTGACGGACCTTGGACATTCCAACCTCTACAAGATAAGGGAAAACAAAACAAAACAAAACAAAACAAAAAAAAATGTTCCCTTTTTTTGGGTGCAGTGATGCCCTCGCCGTCTACACGAAAGTTGTAGTACTTGAAGCCTATGCAGGAAAAAAAAAAATGCCTGAGGAAATGCGAGAAGGGCTGGGAGCGGCGTTACCGGGCGGTGTAGTTTAGTGCTTCGGAAACTCCGTCGTCGCGGGCGGCTAGCGCCAGCGACGCTACCTGGTCGACACCTCCGCCATCGCGACGGAGGTCGGGAATCACGGAGCACGCGCCCTCATCGGGTGTAGGGTTTTGCCCGCTTTGCCGCCGTGGTATCCGGGTAGTCCATAGCCCTAGTGGTGGAGCTTGGTCGCTTTTGTTTCTCAAGGCATGCTTCAACATCGGAAGGTTGTGTGGTATCCACAGAGGAACGAAGAAGAACAGTGGTCTGGTTCTGTCAATCGGTCCGGAAATGCGTCGGGAGTTAAAGTCGAGTTTTTTCATACGGTGTAACCAAGAGTGGGTAAAATTGATGTAGGGTTACCCGTGGTAAAAACGAAGGGGGCCGCTTGGCATGATAGTACGGTGTGTCACTAGGGTCGTTTGCTCAATGCCATCCTCCCGTTACCTCAGTCTCTCCAAAAGGGGAATCAGGGTGCTTTCGCTAGTAGAGGTGGGATTCGGCCCTCCTCTTGTTGCTCGCCTTCGTCTCCTTCTCTACGGCGGGCTTAGCTAGGACCTGTCAACAGGATAGGCCGGACTCGGCTACGTTCGGCGGGCACCGCGGAGGGCGTATGTTGGGCAAGAATCGCTGCAATTTATTACCCGCGTGAAAATGACGCGCGGGGAAAAATTGTGGGTAAGAATTGGTCTGAGGAGAGCGTTGGGATTCACCAAGCAGACTGCTGCAGTTTTTTACCCGCGGAGGTCACGCGCGAGGTAAAATCTGTGGGCAACGCTGCCGGCCTCGTTTCCAATCCAGAAAGAGAGTGACAATTACCAGGTGTAGAGGAGAAGGGTTTGGATTAGTGAGAAGGAGAGGTTATACGGGAACTTCGGCTTCATCTACGCTCTGAATCTATGGCGGTCATAAGATAAGGGTGGCAAATCTTAAGTCGATTTCGATTACAGCCGGAGTTAACCACGAACGACCGTAAGGGTACACCGGTAGAGAGGGTGTGGAGAGTGGTCGGACCGAAACACCAACGGCAACCGGTTACAGACTAGGTGCCAAGTTAATCCCGGCGGGGATTAGGTTGATGTTAATGTCGGAAATTGCTAGGCAGAGCGGGTTAGTGGATGAACGGCGGCAAGACGAACGGAGTAGGTGCGGGGTAACAACCGCGGTTCGATCCAAGAAGCGAACAGTTGCCAAGCGTCTCAAGGGTAATTGGTGAAGTTGACAGATCGGGACAGATAGGGAGGTCATTCGGGATTTTCACCTGTCAAAATTATGCTTACCTGCCAGCGCGGACAACTGCAAATCCACTAGGCCGCAAGGTCGAAGAAAGTACACGTGCTCGCTCTCGACCTAGGCCGGCAGATCCCATAGCCGGTAAGGGTAGAATTGGAAGATCCGGTAACTGGAGGAGCGGGTTGTTGTTAGTTGCGCTGTTGCAGTAACCCGGGGTTGTGTGGCAACGACACATACAAAGGTACTCACCAGGTCCGATATCTCAACGGAGTAAGTGCAACCTGGTAGGAGTTTCAATGTCGACAATTCAGAAGCAAATCCTGTCGCTCTGGGGAGCGTCCCAATTCAGCGGTCTCCTGAGGCATGGGGAAGGCACCGGAAGGTGAGACTGTGGCAACGAGGTAGGGTGATAGAGGTAGGGTGTCAAAATCAGTCTCCGTGTCGGATCAGCATTCCAAAACACTTGCGCAGTGCTGGGGGAAAATTCAGAGGGAAGGCAACAGCGTCGGTCGTTTGTCGAGCCATGGCAAGCGCAGCGGAAGCAACAGGGGCGTTACATCGAAACCCCCTTACAATGGAAGAGAACAAATCGAGGATTAGGGAATCGGTCGGTAGGTGTTACGACGAAGGGGTCTGTCCTGACGACTTACATCTGGGCGAAGTGGTGGAAGATGAAGGGGGTAAGCGGTTCGTGGTGAACGAATTAGTGAACGAGGTAAAAGATGAATGGCTTAAAGAGAGGTCAGTTATAGTAGTGTTTCAGGGGGAAGCACGCACCCTGGCCAGATCAGTAAAGGAAGATCTGATCCGCGCTTACGAGGATGGATGGACAGCAAAACGACTCTTCCACCCGGACACGAGACGGGGCAGAGTTAAGTTCGAAGGGGCCAACGTTGCATCCTATGTAGCTAAAGCAAAGGTGATCGTGGAATGGCTCCTGCAGGAGAGAGAGCTGAAGATCAAGCTGGGTTCGAAAGAATACCAGGTACTATTCAAACCAAGACTATCTTCGCAAGAGTTACAAGAGGCTAGACTGCAGGAAGCAGAATCCAGATTCTGGATCATGGCTTTGAGAGTCCCCCTGGATGCCTACTACTATCTGAAGAGTGCAGTTAGGGGCATGTTCGGCGAGGTAGTAGAGATGCACAATCCAGAGTATGACAGAGATAGGCCCAAGCTCATGAACGTAAAGTTTGACATGCCGCCGGATGCCAGAGGTCGTATAGACGATGACCTGATGATTGAGTCACCGAAGGGGGAGCGCTTGAGAGTGGACATAGTCTCCCCTTACACAGACTGGTGTCGTCGGTGCAAGTGGTACTACCACACAGAGGATAATTGCCCTCGGTGCCAGAGCGAAGACAGTCGGAGAGGTAATGGGGACAGGCAAGGCGGTCATAAGGCCAGATAACGGGAGTACCCCATGAACCAGGTTCGTGATTCCAGAGACAATAGAAGGCATGGCCCAGAAGAGGACCACTCACAGAGACAGGCCACTCCTCAACCAAGTGCAAGTCATGCAACAGATCTCCATAGGCAAAACAACAGTCGACTTCAACAGACACAACAGGCGCAAGCGTAGGCAGCTTCGAGCTCCTTTCGTCGCGGCCCAGATGCGTCGATCCCGGGGCCCCACATAAGAGAGTACACTCAAATTCAGGGGGGCTCAGGCACAAGTGGGCACCAGAGATTTGCAGTGGGTGAACTTCAGAACTGGAGAAGTGACCATATCTGGGGTGAGGAACTGGGTGGGGGCCCAAGCCACCCTCAGACACCGACGTGGGTGCCAAGGGACGAGTGGCTTGGCCCTATGGCAAACGCCCCACTGAGGGATGGCCCAATGGAGGGGAGATAGCAAGGCCCCATAGGCCCAGCCAGCTGGCAAGATCGCCTAGATTACCAAGGGCCGCCGGATGAAGGGATAACCTACCACCAGCAACAGCCCCAAGCGGGTCGGGAGCCAAGTCTCAGATTGGGCCACAACATCATCGAACACCCCCGTCCCAGGTACCCTTCAGCCTCATATGACTAGAGACAGTTAGCCTGCCAAGAGCACGAAAGGCAACAACAGGTCTTCGAAGTACCCAGGTGGGAGGCGAGTGCTACACCATCCAGAAGACGCCAAAGAGGTCTCAAGTCGCGGTGGGATGCCCAAGGGGAGGACAGTTGGAGGAATAGGGGAGAGGGTTCCCATGCAAGGCGCCAAGGTCCCACACACTCAATCCCTACCATTCGGGAAGAGGAGGAAGAGGCAGTTGGGGAAGAGGTCCAGTAATTCCACAGTCTAGTCTCTCTAGACTAAAAGAGGAACTCTCAAAGACCTCCTTGTCTTCACAATCGAGAGTGAGATGGGGGAGCGAGTGCAAAGAGGGTGACCAGGAGAAAGGGCCCTCCTCGTCGATGGAGAGCTCGACAGGCTCGGGGCGCAGACAGGCGGAGAGGCCTAAACATGCATTCGACAAGAGCAGGAGAGCCGACGCAGTTGGGACAAACCAGATGGAAACAATTCAGAGGAGCCTGGCCCCGGTACTGTGCACACACACGGATAGGGGTGCTTTCTTCCTGACAACAACATACGCTGAAGGCTTCCTGCTGATCCCATCAGAGGAGGTGGATCGTTCCCCTACTCCTGCCAAAATCCTGGAGACAACTAGAAGACTTTACGACACTCACGTACCAGTTCGGCTGATCCCCCATTTCACAATGGTAAGCGTCATGTGCGAAACTGTACAGGGGTATAGGAAGATTTACTTCCCGATCCTGGACACTCGCATACCACCAGATTCTGTGAACTTGTTGTCACAGGGAGGAATCCGCTGGTTCCACACAGACGTGGTACGGGAGAGGAACTCGCAAGAGCTGGATCTTATCAGAATCCTCCCTGGAATCTCCGCTATGGCCTTGCTGATGGTCAATGAAAAGCTCCTGGAGGAAGAGAACTTCCACTCCAGCTACCTGGTGACAAGGTTAACGGAGGAATGGCAATCTAGTTTGCACACAAGCTCGTCAAGGGCGAGCCTGGACCAACAACAGTCCAGAAGGAACAAGGGCAACAACTGACAGAGGCTCAGTCTTCCCCCCACATCCAGCTGAAGGCGGGTCCTGCTCAGGCTAATGATGGACAAGCTTAGAGTGATTACCTAGAATGTGAGGGGGCTAGGGGATACGAACGGAAGGGAGAAGAGAAGAAGGTTGAAGTCGTGGATTCATGAGTGGAGGGCAAATTGCATCCTGCTGCAGGAAACAAAGTTGGGAGAAGACAAACTGAAGGATATGACAGCATGGTGGGATGGGCCGCAAGTGTGGGCCCCTGCCCGGGGGACGAGAGGTGGGGTAGCGATTTTGCTGCACAGAGACCTACAGGCCAGGTTGATAGATTCAGAGGCGGACCTATGGGGGAGGTGGGCATGGCTGAAGGTGGAAGTGGCGAACGAAGAGTGGGTGTTTATGATTGTGTACGCTCCGAACGAGATGGGGGAAAGAACTAGATTCCTAGCCAGGTTAATGCAGCACATCCCAAAGACAGAGAGGCTGTTCCTGGGCGGTGACTGGAATTTTTCGCTGGACGAAGCCTTGAGAGTGGGCTCACCACAAGCAGACAGGAGGGACGTTCAAGCTCTATTGGAGCTATGCACAGAGCTGGCACTAGTTGATCCCTTCCCATCATTGAACCAAACAGACCCTGGGTACACATTGTACTCGCATCTGTACAGAGAGGCAAAGCATCACAAGAAGGAGGTTAGATTACTTCCTATTAGGTGAGCACCTGCAGAACCAAGTTACAGCGGTCCGTACGGTCTGCAACCCACTGTCGGACCACAAACCTGTGATAGCGGATGTCAAGCTGGCTCTAAGTGTAACCAGGGGGCGGGGTTTCTTCCGTCTGAACAACCAGGTCTTGGAAGAACCGGGGGTGGGCGAATGGGTGTCCAGACACATGGAGAGTTGGGACCGAGCATAGGCGCACTTCGAGACCAAGGCACAATGGTTGGAGGGAGGGATAGCAATCACCTCAGGAGTTCTGGACGTCATTTCCAGAATCCTCGCAAGAGAACGGAACAAGAAGGAAGCGGATTGCAAAAGAAGGGTAGAGGAGGCGGAGGAACGCATGGAGGGCCATCCGATATCGAAAGTGGTATGGGCCGCAGAGAGGGAGAGGAGGCTGAACGAGTGGGACAGGCTTCAAGAGGAGAAACACAAGAGGTGGGCAGAGATCCTGAAGGTCAAGGGCATCGAGACCAGCGACAGGTCAACAAAGGAAAATTTCCAACGGTTGATGCCTCGACGCACGCAGCAACAAATGGTGGAGTTGAGACACCCGTCCGGACAGCGCCGACAGCGAGCACTCATGCAGGCATGTTACACTATGCCAAGCTGTACTACATGGACATCTTGACCTCCAGATACCCCCATCAGAGCGTAAACTTCGATTTGTCCAGGAACTCAGACATGTGGGAAGACACTACAGGGAGGCTACAACCTAACGCAAGACTGGATTTGGATAGACCACTCATGGTAGAAGAAGTGAGGCAGACGCTCAAGACAATGGCCAAGGGGAAGTCCCCGGGCGTGGACGAGCTCACAGTCGAGTTCTACGCAGCCAACTGGAATGCGTTTGGCCCTGCGCTAGTGAACCTCTATAACGAGGTCCTGGTGGGGGGAAAGCTGGGCAAGGGGATGACTCACAAAGTAATTTCTATGTTGTTCAAAAAGGGTGACAAATCGGAGGTACGAAACTGGAGGCCTATATCGCTCCTGAATGTCTCATACAAGATGCTAGCGAAGATACTGGCCCGTAGGCTGTCGAGATACTTACCGGAGCTAGTGGAAAGAGATCAGGGAGCATTTGTCCAAGGTCGGTCGATCTTCAACAATATATCGTCATGGCTATCGAGACGCTGGAAGTCGTGCAGAAGGAGAATCTGGACATGGCAATCCTCCTCCTAGATCTTGAGAAGGCATACGACAAAGTGGGTTGGACTTTCGTCCTCACCACGCTGCGGAGGATGGGGTTCGGTGAAGGGTTCTGCGCCTAGATTATCGCAATGTATACATACTCCACGTCGTTGGTGATGATCAACGGTCACCTGTCGGAACCATTCCCGCTCTCGAGATCCCTGAGACAGGGGTGCCCGCTTGCTCCCCTTGTCTTCGTTCTTCAACTGGAAGTGTTGCTGAATAGAATCCGTAAACACCCGAGCATCCGCGGTCTCCGTCTGCATACAGGCGAAGACTGTAGGGTGAAGGCATTAGCGGACGATCTTTTCGCCGTGAGTGAAAACACAGAGTCATCCTTGGCGGCGCTGAAAGGCGTTATGTTGGAGTACTCCGAGCTGTCCGAGGCATCATTAAACTGGTGCAAATCAGTGTACCTCCTTCCGGCGCAGTTTGTATTAAGAGTAGAGTGGGGCATGAGAAGAGTGGAACTGGGGGAGGAGGAGAGATTTTTGGGGGTCCTTATCAGTCTTCAGTTCGAATCCTCGACACAGGGCCTGTTGCTGCAGCAGCGCATCGCAGCAAGGCTCAAGGGAGATTACGTGGCACCTGTCCCTGCTAGGGCGGGCCCTAGTGGCGAATGTGGCTTTGTTCTCGATCCTCTGGTTCGTATCAACTGTCAGGGAACTGGCGACGGGGATCATAAGGGCAGTCAAGAGACTGGTGGGCCGTTTTATCTGGAAGCCCCGGGCACGGCTCACCGAAGGGTTCATATCCAAGGCGGCGATGGATACCCTCTCCTTCCCGCGCCCCAAAGGAGGTTTGGGGCTGTTAGACCCAGCTCGCAGGAACCAGGCCCAGCTGCGTAATTGGGTAGCCAAGCTGGCCACCCTGGCTTCCAGGGAGCATTGGGTGGGGATTGCAGAACGAATTCTGATGGCAGAATGGGGGCTAAGCAGGGCGCAAGATGTCTGGGACTGTTTCTTTGTCCTGTCTTTCCGCAAGAGAAGATTCAAGTCCAGCTTTTGGGAACCGATCAGGAAGGCTTGGAATCGTCTCCCACCGGACCTGCAAAACCCCCCGAGCACGAAGGATGAAGTGCTGAAGCAATTGCTGTTTGAAAATCCGGAGATAGTGGATCAAGATGGGCATCCTTTCAAAGTCGATGGCTCCACAGGCTCCTTTGGTCAAGCTCGGGTCAAGCGGGGCATAGTCCGGATTTTGGATCTGTGGTCTAAGCTGCTGGGAGGGTGGAAGTCACAGGAAGACATCAAGCAACCGCTCAGAGGTCTACAGAGGGTGGAGGAAAACTGGAGGAAGCTAACCCAAGGCATACCACAGGATTGGCGGCTGCAGATGGGTCCAGAGGGGGTAGACCCGGAAGGTACCTGGTACGTCCCGAACCAAGCAGAAGAACCAAATGTGTTGTGGAAGGTCAGAGAAATTCTTCCCAGCGGTTTCAGGCATATCGAACGCTGGCGCTGCGAAGGCCCTGCGAACGTCCTAACTCTGGTGGAGCAAGACACAGTATTCAGCTGGAACAACCCAGCACAAGCAAGAGTTCTGGAAGTGAGTGGCAAAAGACCCTCGGCCCACGACCTCACATGGGTTGGAAAACTTCCACTCAACCAGCTATGTGTGGACCCGTTAGCATGGAGTTGGTCGGCAGAACCGGGCGGTGAGACAACTCTGAGTATTGGTGAATACGCGGTCGCTCAGGGGTATCGGCAGCTAACGCAAAAGTTGAAGTCCCCAGCGCAAGTGGCCATTACACGTTGGCAGGCGATATGGGAGGAAGATCTGATGGGCACAGATGCTGAATTCGAGAGGCTATGGAAGAGTCTATCCAATCTCCCGAACGACAAGCAGGTCAGCATTCTTTGGTTGCTCTCCCTGCTGGTCTCCCCCTCAGCAGTTTGGTTGCTGAGTAGGGGTGTAGAGGTGAGCCTCGCATGCACAAGATGTAGGTGGCCATTCGAATCCACCAGACATCTGTGGTGGGAATGCCCAGCCTCCAAACGCATCTGGGTCTGGTGGGAACACCATTGGAAAGCGTGTGGAGGGACGGGAGTGGAGTGGACGGAAAAATGGGTACTTCTGGGATTCCTCCCATTGCACGTAGAAGGTCACCGTGGCTGGGGGTATGTCGTTCATGTGGTTCGTGGCCTGATCTGCGAGACAATTTGGAGGGACAGAAATAGGTTGATATTCGACAGACGTCCCTTCTCAGATGTGGAGGTCAAGGGGCACATCAAACAGGGACTGAAACAGGCCATTCGGGCGGACTGGAGGCGCAAAGCGAAAGCAGGGAAAGGGAACAGAAGCCAACTCCGCTGGTTCGGGAACGCCTGGGCGAAGAGTAACCAGTTGGTATCGGTTCACGCGAGGGAGGGCCTGATTTTCTCAGACTGAGTTCTCAACAAGTTGCCTGCGAGGGATCATCTTCAAGGAAGGGAGGTAGGCTAGAAAGGAGATAAGGGTCAGCACAGGTCCGTGGCCCCTCCACCAGGGCACTCGGTGTAGTAGGGTCAAAGTAGTCCATTAGGTGAGTGTCAGTAGGATTGGACGCTGTCCTCTGGGCTGAGTTAGTTCCAGATGTAGTTAGTAGTTAGTAGTTAGAATGAGAAGCTAGCAGCTTTGATTTAAAGATTTTAAGCGGAATTTTTCTCGATATGCAATCTCATGATGTCGATAAGCAACAATGCAATGAATCCGGTAGCACAGGCACAAAGTCTGATTAAATTGACAAGTTTTCGGAAAGCATAGAGCAGAAGGTTTCCCAGGCAAGAGCCTGTAAGCTAAGCTGGCTGATGCTGCCAGTAGTTTCCGGGTTGATTTGTGAGGTCCCCGGCCTCGGTTTCCTGTTATAATGAATTGAAGTTGGATTGTTCAAAAAAAAAAAAAAAAAAAAAAAGTTGTAGTACTTCCGTTTGCGCCCTCACATATGCAAAAAATGCGGGGAAAATATTTCGGCATCTGTGCCGAACTCGGAAACGAGTGGGATCTCAAAAGTACAGTGGAGTTGGGCTGTAGTGTAGTGGTGGGATCAGACCCCTATTCACGTCAGGCCGTGGCGCCAACTCCCAAGCCTACGTTTTTCTGCAGGAAAGCTGAGGCGCCAACCCCCAAGGCTATGTTTTTCTGCAGGAGAGAACGCAGATACCTGCCTTAAAAAGGTACATATGGAGCAAGCTGCCTAGCTCAGGTACCTGCTGTGGCTCAAAGGTACATACAGAGCAAGCGGCCTATCTCAGTTGGTTAGGCACGGAAGTAGCATTCAGTAGGTCGTGGGCTCAATCCTCACTGACTGCCTGGGCACCCTTAGTGCCAACCGAACTGTGATAGTTGGCTTGCTCCCCCCTGCAGGTATTGGTAGGGTCTTTGCCCATCACGGGTGTGTGTGGGGGTGGGGGG